GAAAAATTTGATTGTGATATTGTTTAATGTTGTCATTTTAAAAGGATATATCCTGAAACTTTAACAAATTCTACCAGAGCATATAATTTACCTAGTAATAATGTGTGGTAAAGTGTATACATAAAATTTTAAATGCACTTTTCAAGACTATATATAGAACTTAATGAGTTACTAAGCTATTAAGATAAATTCTGAATAGAACATTTGTTAAAACAGTTTTTCAAATTGCTTCTTTAAAAATTCTGGTTAGCAGTAACTATAGTTGTAGTCCAGATAACAACAGAATTGATACTTTTCTTTAATCTACTAAATGTGTTTTAGGATACATTTTTAGTTTTAAAATGGAGACGTTAATCTTCATTTACTTTTCATACCTAAAACTAGACTCAGGTTCACGTTCTCTTGTGGGCCATTTCCCTCAAAGTTTCTTTTAAATAAAAAAATTTTCTAGAAGTACTGAATATGTGCACCAAATGCATACTAGACTCACAAACTCACGCAGTTTAACTTCATGCTTCATTAGAACAGTCATGGTATCAGATGATCTTGCCTCTTGGGAATAGTGATATATGTGAATGTCAGACCTCTGAATTCAGCAGTAATGACAGTTACCTAATTGAAATCAAGGGGAAGGTTATTTCTGAATTAGTGAAAAGACTCTTAAAGATTGTATACTTCTACTCTTTTAAGCTCACAGAATGATACGAGTTTAGTATGAATTATTTTCATAATTTTGTGTTGCTAGTGTTTTTGAAATGAGGTCTTGCTGTGTTGTTCAGGGTGGCCTTGAATTCCTGGACCCAAGCCATCCCTCTTTCTCAGCCTCCTGAGGAGCTGGGCTTATACATATACAATGCTGTGCCCAGCAAGAAATATTTTTTAAGCAGCCGTTTTGTCAAGCTATTTTTAAATAACTATGATATGGTAAAGACACATGTAACATTAAATAACTCTTAATTAAGTGTATAGTTCAATTGTGTATATTTATGTTTATGATGTTGTACATCACATCTCTAGAACTTTATTGTCTTGTAAAACTGAAATTCTGTACCTATTAAACACGATTGCCGGGCCATTTTTAGGCAGGCGCTTGTGCTATATCCCCAGCCCTGCCAGGTCACTTTCAATGCAAAAACCACTCATTTGAAAATAAGATATTCATTGACATACTGACATTTAACTGTTGGTCTCTTTTGTAATTATGTAAAAATTGAGACGTTATGAGGTAGTTAGTATTTGAGATTTTCATTTAATCTGGTAAATACTGTAAAATTGCTGATACTATTTGCATTCTACTACTATCCCTCCTTCCAAGTAGAATAATTTTTATTTTATATTTTCCAGCACTGAGTATTGAGCCCAAGGTCTTGTGCATGCTAAGCAAGCATTGTACCATGGAGCTACATCCCCAGCCCAAGTAATATGAAGTTAACTTAATCACACATCTAGTTACGGTATTAGAGGTGGTGTCAGGTCTGAAATAAAGGGCGTTTGCTTTTTGTTTAAGAATTTCATGTATCACCAACACTTTTATTGTTTTGGTTCTTGCTATGTGTTGTTCAGGCAGGCCTTTAACTCACTTTGGAGACCAGGCATTGATCCTCCTGCCTCACTCTCCTAAGTATGGGATTACGGATGTGTACCCCCACACATGGCCCTAGCACCAACACTTTAGCCACAGTACTTCGGTGGAATGGTTTGCTGGTTTCTATCATTGACTTCCAAACATTATTCTTAGTGGTTCTGTATCTTTTGTACAGCCTTCCTTGTGTTATCCAGATTTCCCCTTAAGACCTGTCCTCGTTGGGCCCCAGATGATCTTTGTGTATCTTTAATTTGCTTCTCTTTGTTAGGTCAACAAATACATATTGAGTGCTTGCTCTGTGCAAATATTATTTGCAGGGTCTATCTACTAGATACACAGTTGTTGCTGTTACAGTTAAATCTGTCAGTTTCTTAGTGAGAGGTGTGAACTCTTTAGCAGGTTTCTTTTTTGATGTTGAGGAGTGAGTCTCATGCTAAGCATGTGCTCTGCCATTGAGGGACAACACCCCAGCCCCTAATGTGAACATTTATAATCCATAAACATTTGACGGTGGTTTACTGAAAACCTGTTTCTGTATGTGAAGCCATTTTTCCTAGCTCCTAGGATAATTTTTTTTTTTTTTTTTTGTGGCGGGGAGTGAGGAGACAAAGCTCTTGCTGTGTAGTTCAGGCTGGCCTGGACTCACTACAGAGCCCAGGCTGACCTTGAACTCCTGTCAGTCCTCCTGCTCAGCCTCCTGAGTGCTGGGATTACAGGCATATGCTACCACACCCTCTTCTAGGCTAAATTTTTTATACCATCCTCCTCCCCCTCCCCTTATTGAACTCACTTAAGGGTTTTTTGTTAACTCACATTCCATTGTATTTTAGAGGGGCTGGTATTGAGGACTCCCTAAGGAAGTTAGTTTCCTGGAGGTCCATGAATGTTATAAATTGAAGTCTTTTTATTTTGGAGTGGCTGCTATCAAAGGAAGCAAGCACATGTTCAGAATCAATGGTAAAAGGAATACTGGACCAGATTAATCCTTTATAACAGTTGTTTTTCCAGTATATACTGAGACATTGTTTAAATGAAAATAAATCATAGGCAAGATAGAAAATCTTTAAAGGTTAGATTCTGAATTTTCATAGTACAGATTTGTTGTTTGATAATTCCTTTGGTTCAAGCCCTTAAAAAATTGTTCACACCCTTTTCCCAGTGTATGCTTATATTACTGCTTTGGCTATTCATTGACACTTCTTTTCTTTTTTTTTTTTTTGGTTTTGGTTTTTCTCCGGTACCAGGAACCGAACTCACGACCTTGCGCTTGCCAGGCAGGCGCTTTGCCGCTGAGCTAAATCCCCAGCCCCGACACTTCTTTTCTTTTGAACTTGCCTGTCTCAAATTTTGCAGCTCTTTTAGGGGTAGAAAGTCCTTCTTAATGTTTTTATTCTTCATGATGTCATCGTGATTACTCTTACCTGGACCTTCCCCAGTCCATTTTGCATTTCTGAGTTCTATCACCTAGAACTACAATCAGGTTCATTATTAGGTTTGTTGTCTTATTTGAAGGTAGAAAGTCTTTCAGTTTTCAGTGCCTTTTCTTAATTTTATGGCTAATATATTTTTAGTTTCTGAAGTTCTTGCTCTAGTCTGTAGAGAGCTCCCAGATAATTTTCCTTTCTAGATCAAAGACTATAGATTTTTCATTATAAAAACAGTCAATATAAGTATTTTAGAGAAAACGTGGAATCTATAAGAAAGTAACCTTTTCACAGTGGGTATGTGCTTTGAGTCATCATGTGTATATAACAAATATATACAATGTAATTTGTCAATTTAAAATAAATTAATAAATGTGGGAAGAAAAAGAAAAACTTTTTTTTTTTTTCTGTCTTCTTTTTTCAGACAGGGTCTTGCTATGCAGTTCAGGCTGGCCTTGAGCTCACTTTGTAGCCCAGGCTGGTCTCAAACTTGCAATGGTCCTCCTGCCTCAGCCTCCCGAGTGCTAGGATTACAGGAGTGTACCACCATACTCGGCAAACTTTCATAGTTAAAGCAAAAACACCTGTTTAATGTTTGGTGTACTTCTTTTTTTTTTTTTTTTTTTTTTGGTGTACTTCTTTATAAACTTACTTTATCTGGGTAATGTTTTTATGTATGAGTATGCCTTTTTATATTTTACTTTTCTTAAATGTAACTTTAGAATAAACATTTCCACATTTGAAATGCTTTATAAAATTTTTTCTTGCTAGGCACAGTAGTAGCACATGCCTGTAATCCCAGCTATTGGGGAGGCTGAGGAAGGAGCATTGCAAGATTGAGACCCTGTCTCAGAATTATTTTAAAAAGGAGGGTAGGGATATAACAGTGGTAGAACACCTCTAATTTCAATCCTTTTTACCACCAAAAATGTTATTATTAATAATTGTATAGGACTCAGTGAGTGCACATTTTCCTAATGCAATTTAATCATTCTTTATTTGTTTGTTTTTGTTTTTGAGACAGTTTCATTATGTAGTTAGGACTAGCCTTGAACTTGCTGTGTAGCCCAAGCTGACCTCGAACTCACAGATATCCTCCTGTATCAGCCTCCTGCATGCTGGGATTACAGGCATGTTCCACCATTCTTGGCAATCATTGTTCTTGTGTTGTTGAAAAGACTTTCACATTACATACATTCTTTGTCATTTTTCTTTTCATTTTTAAGATGGGGCCTTGCTATATTGCCCAGGATTGGTTTTGAACTCTTGATCTCAAGTCTCCTGAATGTTGATATTATAGATATGTGCCACCACACTTTGTCATCTTGAAAGATCTTGTTCTTTTCATGTTACCAGGTGTTTTAATATCTTAGGAGTTAGGATATTAAATATTGAGTATCTTACTGAGTATTCATATAAGTTAAAGTATTTGGGTGAATATCTATTGTCAAACACACATCTCTGTATTAATATTTCTTTGTGAAATCTAATGAGTTGGAAATCCCTCTACCCATATTAGGGATTCAAACCACCACTGCACACACACTAGGCAAGTGTTGTACTACTGTTTTCTTAAAGACATTTCTCCCGCACATTATGTTGGTACATTGTGATGCTTTAATACCTTGTGGCTACTCAATGAATATCATTTCTCAAGATAGTTGCCCATAGTAGTTGAAGGTAATATTTATCTCCTAGCTTTTTCTTATTCATCAGCATTTTCTCTTAATCTGTTACATATGCATGTGTGCTGCTTTTACTTCAGTCATATGTTGAACTGAGTGAACTAGTTGAGGACAGTATCAGCATTGAGATATCATGCATTCTGTGAGTGTATTTAACAACGATGCTAGCTTACTTCACAAAAAGCTTTTAAGAATCATGGCAATTTTGCTAGTTATATAATTTGTAACATTAAAATTCAGTGCATACTCATTGATAGGTTTCCTCTTGGTACCATCTAACTTTTTGTTTCTTCTTCCATTTCCAAGCTGCCATTACAAAAGCCAAAGTGGATTTCTCCAGTGTGGTGTGCCTGCCCCCTTCCGTCATTGCTGTGAATGGGCTGGACGGAGGTGGGGCTGGCGAAAATGACGAAGAACCGGTGCTCCTGTCCCTGTCTGCCGCCCCCAGCCCTCAGAGTGAAGCTGTTGCCAATGAATTGCAGGAGCTCTCCCTGCAGCCCGAGCTGACCCTGGGCCTCCACCCTGGCAGGAATCCCAATTTACCCCCACTTAGTGAGCGGAAGAATGGTGAGTACATGTGGAATTATTACATTGCCTCATTTGAACCAGATTCTTTGTGTTTATTTCATGTCTCTTGAAAGTTTCTAATTTAATGTTTCTTGTAAAGTAGAGGTGGAAGTGGTAAGTTTAGGTGATCATTATAAGCATAACATCTTCTGCTTGGATTATAATTGCTTTTTGATTTATCTTTTTCTTTGTTTCCCCCACATTGTTCTTTCCATAAATCCATTCATTCATAAATACTTGTTAAGTTTCAATGTTGTTAAGTATGATACTTGTTAAGTATCATAAATACTTGCTAAGTATCAATGTAAGTTAAGTTTGGGTCTCAAACTCCCAATGATCCTCCTGCCTCAGTCTCCCGAGTGCCGGGATTATAGGCGTGCACCACCATGCCCAGCTTGAATTTGGTATTCCATTGTCATATATTTTTATATTTTTATATATAAATATACTCCTAAGCAAAATACAATACTTCTCATGTTTTAAATTATATATGGATTTAACAGTATACTGTATTACTTAGAAAACTATGGACATGCTTTGACTTCAGTGGGAGCCTTTCTCGATAAACCCATTGTGAGTTGAAACTACAGCAAGTCAAAAATGCATTAAATACACCTAATCTACTGAACATCATAACTTTTTTTTTTTTTTTGGTCTTTTTGAGACAGAGTCTTACTATGCAGTTCAGGCTGGCCTTGAGCTTACTCTGTAGCCCAGGCTGGCCTCAAACTTACAACAGTCCTCCTGCCTCAGCCTCCTGAGGCGTGTGCCACCACGCCTGGCCTTGAACATCATAACTGTAAACCTATTCTAATTTAAATGTGCTCAAAACACATTAGCCCACAACTGAACAGACTCATCTAACTCCAAGCTAAAGTACTGGAGCTCACATAATTTATTGAATATTCTACTGAAAGTGCATGGTTGTGTGGGTATGCTTTTGCAGTGTCAAAAAATTACAAAGTTGAACCATTGTAAGGCAAAGACCATCTTTATATTGTATTCTTTGTTTATTGTACTGTGTACAATACAATATATTGTATTCTGTGTTATTATTTATTTACCTTGTGAATCGTTAAAGATATAGTCTATATTTCCTCAAGTATTAATCTGATGCATTAATCCACACTCATTGAATAATCTGATTTTTCACCTCTGATCTTGAATACCAACCTTAATTTTTTCTGTGTGTGTGCATGAATTAGTTTTCAGGCTCTCTGTCCTGTTTCAGTGGTTTCTGTCCATCTTTATGTCAATACTGTATCATTTTAGCTGCTTAATAGTGTGTGTTGCTTAGTAGTGTCTTGTTCCCCGTTAGAATGGATCTCTTCTTGCCATTTTCTTCCACGTTGTCTTGGTTTTTCTTGCCCTTTTAATTTTTGATGATTGTAGAATTGTCCTGCTGAGAGCAAAAAAGCCATCAGGACTATTTTTGTCTCGTGTTTCATCATGAAAAAAAATAAAACAAAGTAGAAAGAATTTTGCTCCATTTTTCTTTTCTTTTTTATTTTTGAGATCTCACTATGTAGTAGTATAGGCTGGCCTTGAACTCACCATCCTCCTGCTTTCCCCTCCTGAGTGCTGGGATTATAGGCGTGTGCCACCTCACCCAGGTAGAAAGAATTTTATAAAGACCTTTTGCCCTGCTCTGAGAGTCTGCCATTTTATAATACTTGCTTAATAATGTATTTATTCATCTATTTCTATCATTAGTCCATCTTGTTTTTGATGCAAAATAAATTGCTGACCCTAGTATACTAACTGTTACTGAAGTGTAACATAAATACAGAATAACACACCATTTGTAAGTGTCCTTGTTATTGAATTATCACAAAGTGAATATACCTGTATGTGTAGCTAGTACTTAGTGAAGAAATAAAACATTATCAGCACTCCCAGAAACTCTTCCATAGCTCCTCCCATTGAGTCCTCTTTTTCCTTGGCCAAAGCAAATTACTATCCTGACTTCTAACACCATAGGTTTCTTTTGCTTGGTGATTTGTTTTGTTTTGTTTTGTTTCCTTCCTTCCTTCCTTCCTTCCTTCCTTCCTTCCTTCCTTCCTTCCTTCCTTTCTCTCTGTGTCTCTGTGTTTTGTATCCTTCCTTCCTTCCTTCCTTTCTCTCTGTGTCTCTGTCTCTGTCCCCTCCTCCCATCTCTGTCTCTCCTTTCTTATTTTTTTGCTTCTTCCCGTACCGGAAATCAAACTCACAACCTTGCGCTTGCCAGGCAGGCGCTGTGCCGCTGAGCTAAATCCCCAGCCCTCTCTCCTTTCTTTTGACAGGATCTCACTATGTAGTGCAGGCTGGCCTTGAACTTGCTTACGTAGCCAAGGCTGGCCTCAAACTCACGGTGATCTTGCTGCCTCAGCTTCCCAAGTGCATCAGCTTGTTTTAAATTAAATTAATTTTTTAGTGATAGGATATTAGTATGTTCTTCAGGCTTGTCTCAAAACTTTTGGGGTCAAGCAGTCTTCCTGCCTAAACCTGCTAAATGGCTGAGGCTGCAGGTACTTGTCGCCGTGCAGGGCATTTTGCTTGCTTATAAATTTTATGCGAGTAGAATCATACTGCCTATATTCTGTTTGTGTCTTCCTTGATATGTTTTTGAATTGTTTGTGGCTACAGCTTATTTTCATTGCTATATAATCATTGTATGAATATACTGCAATTTTTTGGTTCATTTCACTGGACGTTTGGGTTGCTTTAAATTAGGTCTATTATGGATCATGTTGCTGTGAAGTTCATGTGTATGTCTTTTGGGATTTTGATATAAAATATATTATTTATAAGTAAATGGAGAATATACATTTTACAATATATGGGTCTTCTTGTCTATTAATTAGTTTTATCTTTGATTAAATAGGTGTTTTTCAGTGTCTTACACATCTTTATTAACGTCATAATGGTCATACAAATATTACAGTATTAGGTTCACTGCTCTGTATCCTTTTTCATAGACATTATAAATGGTATTTTTATAATGGTATTTTCTGTTGAATATTGGAATATAGAAACACCACATCTTCAAAACCCCTGTGCCTTTTCTACATACATGCTATTTGGGATGCTCTTTCTTTTTCCTAGTCTTCTTATTGCTTCTTACTTGTCCTTAGGATTCTGTTCAGCTTTCAGCCTCTTTGAAGTCTTTCCTAAGTCCTGTCTGGAGTTAGGTGCTGCAGGTGGATTGGGTCCTCCAGTCTTTATCCTGCTTGAGTTCTCTGCAGCATTTAACATGGTTGGCCACTCTCTCAGGTGTGAAACCATTCCTTGGCTGGCATTTGTGACTGTACCCTTCTCTGGCTTTTTCACTCCACCTTTCCAGCCTCTGTCTTTTCTGCACAGAACCTTTACTGTCTTTCTCTACCCACCTCCTAAATTTTGTTCGTATCATTCAGCCCTAGGGAAAGAGGCGGTGCTGCTGAGAAAAGCATTACTAAATTTTATACTAGGTTTTTGCATGGACTTTTGTAGGGAGGGAAGGGTAGAAGCAGAAGCAGAAGTAGAAAATCTCTAACAAGATTGTGGCACTCTAGAACGGAATCAATCCCTGCATTCTAGGAGGAGCTTTATCATGAATGAGGGTGTTGTAGTGTGTGTTGAGAAGATAGACTGAGAAATTTACTTCTCAGATCTGTTTCACTTAGAAAACTGTCTTACATGAAAAAGCAGTTGGTTAGTAAGGGTCCTTATGGGATAGTAGGGAGGCAAGGTCCTGACACCTATTTCCTAGACAGAGGGGTTGGAGCCTTTAAAGAGGAGATTCCTGTGGTTAACTGAGGCTTTGGTGGCCTATTGGAAAAATACAGTAAGAAATTTTAAGGCATATTTTTTTCATATCACTCGTCTGTTTTAAAAGCTGAGTGCTTATATCTGAAAGACACAATCGATCTGCCCTGGGTCCTGTCCAGCCTGATCTTGCAGAAGCCTGGAAAAGCCTTCTGTAATGATCTGACCTTGTGACTTCAGCTCATGGGGGTTTGGAACGCAGTGAATAAATGTGTCGTTGTAGAAAATCATTCCTTTTATCAACTATATGTTGATTCCTAAATGGTACAGGTTAGTTGAGGTTTACATGAATGGAATGATTCTGTATTCCTCTTTTACTGAAATAGATGGTCTTCGTTCATCTAGTGTATAACTGTAATTCATACATTTTTATTGCTGTATAGTGGATGTTCCATGGAGAACTATCCCATAATTTAATTTTTTATATTTTTCTATTAATATATTTGCAATACATAATGATTACATTTATTGTGGGGAATTGGTTCATGTACAGAACACATCTTTTTTCCATGCCTTACTCCTCCCCTGCCTTCCAACTCTTGGTCCCCTTCCCATTTGCAAAAGCTCTGTTTTCATCATTTGTCCCATCCCCTTTTCTTCTTCTCCCTCCCCCTTCCCTTCATCTCTTGTTCCTCCATCCATTTGAAAAAGATCTACCTTCTTCCTATTTGTATCTTCTGTTTTACATTCTCCCTTTCCATATGTATATATACACACACACACATACATATATATGATATTTAAACTTGCGTATATGACTTATTTTACTTAATATTGTGGTCTCAAGTTGCATTCATTTACCAACAGATGGCTCAAGTTTTATGTTTATGGCAGAGTAGCACTCCATTGTGTGTAAATACCACATTTTCTTTATGTAGTCAATTATTGATGAACCTATAGACCACTTCAAAGCTATAGGTATTATGAGTTGTGCTGCTATAATATGGGTATGCACATATCACTGAAATATGATATCTTTAACTGGTTTTGGAAGATAACTTAAAAGGGGAATAGCTGAGTAGAAGGGAAGTTTTAGTTTTAGTTTTTGAGGAGTCTCCATCCTGACTTCCATAGTGGTTGTACCAGTTTATATTTACACCAGCAGTGTAGAAAGGTTCCTTTTCCCCTGTAGCCTTACCAATACTTGTTTTCATTTGATTTCTTGATGGTGGCCAGTCTTTCTGGGGTAAGACTGTGAATTTCAATATTTTTTT